AAAATGAGCCGCTTTCACTTCTCTTATCTTTTTAATCAAATTTAAAATATAACAAATATTTTTTAGTTATATCTGATAAAAATTTAATCAATGATAAAGTAAATTAATTTTTAATAATATTAAAATAACAGAAAAAAAAAAAAAAGCAAAAGAAATTGTTATTGAAAATTAAGCAAAAATAGAAATAATAAGGAGAAAGAAGGAAGAAAGAGAGAGAGGGAAAGAGAAAAGGAGAGAAAGAGAGAGAAAAGTATGATAACTAAACACGGAGGAAGAAAAGGCTTATGAAACTAAGAAGTATCATTTGTAGTTCACCTTTTCTTCCTTTCGTTTTTCATTCATTCCTTTCCTCTTTCCTTCCTTCCTTCCTTCCTTCCTTCCTTCATTCCTTCCGTCTTTCATTTACTTTACAATAACTTAAAACCAAAGGATTTCTTGATGGTGATAGGATGAAATTTGATCTTGCCTGTCTATAACATATATAAAACTTCAAAATGCAAAGTTCAACAACTTTTTTTTTTTTGATCGATAAAGGAAAATTATGAAATTGAAAGTTCAATTTGTACAAAATTATATCTGATGATGTCAGTGATAGTGATGATAATATTAATAAGAATGATGATAATGCTAATAATAATAATAACAATAATAATAATAATAATAATAATTTAAACAAGCATAAAATAATGAAAAAATTAGACTCGTTAATTTGTAATCAAAATTTTTAACTTTCAATAGAATTTTTGTAACTAAGTGATAGCTATAGTCATTTTAGCTTTCTATTTTCTTTGAGCCTTTTTTTTTTTTCACGTCAATCTTTGGTCCAGCCGTTTTCATAACAGATAGCAAATTTTTTTTTCCATTCTTTTTCTCTCTTCCACTTTTTCCGTTTTGTTTTTTTTTTTTTCTTGTTCGAACATTTTAACAATTTTTAAACTAATCAAAGTTAGAAGTTCATTGTAAATAGCATAATAAATAGTTTCAAAATAAGTCAAGGATGATAGAAAAAAGAAGAACGAGAAGTAATTTTATAAATTAAAAAATGAAAATTTTTGAAATACCGTAAATTTGTTATTTATTTTTTGAAATGGTTTCGTAGAATATTTAATATTAACATTTGTTAATACCAAAAATTTCATTTCCTTTTCATTGTAACCTAATTCTATTTAATTTATTACAAAAATTTCAAGTTTTAGAAATGAAAAAGATGAAAAGAGTTAACGTCTGAACATTTGACAATACTTGATGAAAAAGAATAAATAATCTTAGGTATGTATGAAAATATAGATTAACATTGATACTTTCTATAAATTAAAATTTTTGAGAAATTTAGGCATTGAACAATATGTTTAAAATGAACAAAAATACTTCAAATAGCAAAAAAGAAAAAAAAAAGTTTCTGTAATATTAGAAATATAATTGTGTAAAAAGCATCCATAATATATAAATGCTAATAATACTATTTATGAAATAATACTTTTTGAAATTATCATTAATCTAATTGAAATGTTAAAAAAGAGAGGGAGAGAAACAAGGAGAGAAAGAGTAGACGAAAGAGGGAAAAGGTTTTAAAAAAGAGAAAGAAAGACGATATGCATATATGTGAAAATATATGAAAAATTCATGTCAACTGATGAGAACGGGTGATGATCAAACGTTAGTTTACGATGACAATGATGATTGGATGTATGTGCATGTATGTATGCTTGTGTATGTATGTATGTATGCGTGTATATATATATGTGCATGTAGATGTGTGTGTGTGTGTGTGTGTGCATGTGTGTGTGTGTGTGTGTGTGTGTGTGTGCTTGTCTCTTTTCTCATTTTACAGTATGCGCTTATCCCCGATATTAGGCCATATTAGGAGTTTTACGGTAGAAAAAAGGAAACAAAGTGAGAGAGCTGAGAGAGAGAGAGAGAGCACAATAGTGAAATTAATGAATTAAAATTTTCAATCTCTTAAATTTTACCGAATAATAATCATAAAATTATGATATAATATTCCTAAAATTTTCAAATTCTTTCAATAAAAAAAAAAAAAAAAGAAAAAGAAAAAATATGAAATTAGTTGATGAATAATTGAGTGTAAAAATGCTATGGATAGTTGAATAAAAATATTTGATGGACTTTTGTTACAAATTTAGAAAATAAACTAATATGTATATACGATGTACTTTGAGTTACTTCGGTAAACAAAAGTTTAATTGAGAAATAAAAGTAATTATATATCATGAAAAAGGAACAAAAATTTATAAATCGCTTTTTCTGTTGTCACGTTACAACAACAACAACAACAATAGCAGCAATAGCAACAACGATAACAACAGCAATAATAATAATTAATAATAGTAATAATAATAATAAGTATAACAGTAATAACAGTAACAATGTACAGAAACTGTTCGACTTTTTTAAAATCTTTTCTTTTTTTCTTCTGCCAAAAAATACGCCTCAATTCTAAATTTCACAAAATGTTTGCAAAAATTTTACTAAAAAATTTATATAAAGTCAGTGCACTTATTATACTAATTTTTAACATTATTGTCCCTATTATTATTATTAATTGTTACTATTGCTATTACAATTATTATTAAGTATTATTGTTAATAGTTATTTTTACTATTGTAATTATTGCTATTGTTATCGTTACTGCTGTTTAATCTTTGAAATAATTGTTTGATTTTGTATGAAATTTTTCAAAATTTCAAAAAACTTTAGTTAAATGTTTAAAATGATAAAAACAAAACAAAAAGTACAAAAGGATACACATGTATTTATTGATTCATTCATTAACAACCCGCACTTTTCTCAATCATATTTTTAGTCAAGTAGAATGGATATATCAATCAAAAAGCGTTTCAAATGTTGCCATTTTAATTTTGAAAAATTTTTTTTCTGTCGAAATTTTTTATTTTTTTATATTAAAATTTCTTTCATAACATGATACATATGTATATATCTATTCTTTTTTTTTTTTTTTTTTTGAAATTCATTAATGAAAAATTAAAAAGAAATGGGAAAAAAAATGAGAAAAAAAAAGAAAGAAATAGTATAATATTGCAAGTTAACTTAAAAGTAATATTTTTTGCATTTTACGAAAAAAGAAAAAAAAACTGTAATGAATTTGTATTAACAACATGTTTTTTTTTTCGTTTTTTCCTCCTTTTTTTTTCAATAAAATTCCATAAGTAACAATTGTTCCGTGATTAAAGGCCTATTTTGCATTACTTAATGATTCATACTAAAAGTTCTGTTTACATCTGATGTGCTACAATTCAAACTTTTGAAAATAGTATGATGTTAAATAAAATATAAACTAGTTCATATTTGATTAAAGTCATGATGATAGGGAAAAAAATTTTTCTATAAAAGCATCAAAAATTAAAATTACAGTGCTTTTTTCTTTTTTATTTTTATAATGAAGCTTACAACCAAGCGGTGAAAAAAAATGCTGAAATTAGAAAAGTTGTGAAAATTTTTTAAAGAATGGAAAAGAGAAGAACACAAGCATTATCAATGAATGATTGAACTAAAGATTTTTGCTGTTTAAAAGTTAAACAAAGAAAAATTTTTTTTTCTTGGCTATTAAAAATATTGTACTAAAAGCAGCAGGAAAATGGAAAAAAAAGCTTCTTTCAATTTTTTTTAATTAAAAAAATGGAACTTTTTTTGTATTTTTTTAAGTGCAAAAAAGAGTTAAGCGGTAAAGTTTTGAAAAGATAACTTCGTTTTTCGTTTTTTTTTTTTTTTTTTTTTTTTTTAATTTTAATTTAAAAAAAGACAAATGTTATGAGAGAAAATAAAGATTACTTAGAGAAACTAAAAGCATTATTAAAGTTCTCATGTAAATTATATTAATTATGAAAATATTATAATTTGTTGTTTTATCTTAGAATGAAGTGGAACATTTATCTTAGTACATAATCTTTATAATTGCATCAATTTATTACCTGGTAAATATATTAATTCAAATTTTGAAAAAAATCCAAAAAGAGATAAAATCAATTTAAAGCAAAAATAAAAAATAAATTAAATGAATATGACATAAAGAAAAGGAAAGTGAAGGATTGAAAGATGATACATCAAAATGATAGCTATATTTTAAGAAAATACAATTCCAGCAAAGGTCATTTTATTGACACAATTTGTCGGTCACAACAAACATTTATGGGTATGTCTTTCTGGTAACTCGGGTCATCATCATCCCTTTCTTTTCAACATGCTTCTTTATTTAAGGGGTGTGTGCCTGTTGACCTTTTCTTGCAATCTTTCTCAATCGATTAACTTAAGCGATAATTGTTCGTTTTTCTTTGTTATCGTTTACTTACATTAATCATTATGATAACATCCATAATTAATCTCATCATGATTAACTCAAATGATGCTACTTCTAGCATAACTTACAATATTAGCACTGATCTATTATTAGATATCACCGTCATCATTAATTCAGTATATAAATGAACAATATTATTATATACTAATATTATAGGTACGAGTATATCTACAAAGTAAAAGCAAAAAAAAAGAAAAAGGAAACATGAAAGAAGAGAAAGTTAAACAAATGAAAGAATTTTAAACAACATTTCATCAATTGTTAATCAAAAAATTTTTTTTACTACTTATGTTAAATTTTAAGGTTAGCAATATTACAGCTGAAGCAGAAGCGGCAAAAGAAGTGCTAGTTAAGGCGATATAAAGTATCCATCTCAGTACCTCAAATCATTATATCTTTACCGAACTGCTTGCTTATATGAGATACTTCTGTGCATCCTATCCTGAATGCATACATACATACATACATACAAATGCATAGATATTTAACGGATCCCTCCCACAAATATCACCATTTGCAGGATGTGTCGGTGATAAAAAGCGTTAGTGGTATTGGGTATGGAGAAATTTAAGAAAGATGTGTGTGTGTGTGTGTGTATGTGTCTGTGCGTGTGTATGCGTGTATGTGTATATGTGTATGTGTGCTTCACTTAGTTAGCTATAAGCTAACTCATTTGATTGCTAAAGCAAAGAGTGAATAGCACGAAAATTTGGCAAAAACGATATGAAGATGCTGAATTCGGAATATGGCGTCGCAATGTAGTTGGTACCTTCAGGCACCAATCCCGAAGCATTAAGCCCATCGTAATATCATTATTATCATATCTCTTATCCATCTCAACTGTCCCTTGAAGTTCATCGTGTTCATTCACATCGTTGATGATAGAAATGATGTAAAACTGATAGGCAAGTATGATTTGCATTATATTTATGCTCTACTTATTTTAGCTTATCAGTTAAGCTACCGTCTATTGAAATCAAAAGTACCGTATCCTTTCCATTTCTAGCAATATATCGATGCATTTTTCCCATTATGTTGAAAATTATTATAATTATTATTTTTTCTTTTTAAGTGTCATTTCAAATATGTTATTTTAAGATATGTTAGCAACTAGATAACTAATATTAGTTAGTTATTTGTAGCAAGAAACAAAAAAAAACCAACAAAGAAATAAACAAACTGACCGTTAATTAGTAAAAATTGTTATGGTCAGTAATTACATCAATCATAGCTATCGAAAGTATAAACAAAGTCAAATGAATGAAGCGAAAAAATAAACTTAAAACAAATTGCATTATTTTTTTCCCAGACAAAAAAGAAGCAAAGGAGGAATTTTTGCCTGAGAAAGGTTACAGGAGTCAAATAACTAATGAACTTTAACTTAACCAAAAGAAAAAAAAAGGAAAAGTAAATAAATGAATAATAATAAATAAATAAGTGAGAACTTTCTCACTGCACTATTACTTAACATTAGCAGTGAATATCAGTATTGAAACAAGGATAGCACTAAAGTTTTCTTTTTTTTTAAGTTTTTAGTGCAAATATATTTTTTACGTATGCATTATCATCAAGGTGCATCTTTTAAGAAAAATGTCTTAATTAAAGAAAAAATTTTCGAGAAATTTATAACTGACTCAATAACTACTATTAAAAGCAAAGGATAAAAATTGCATTCGTTTTCTAAATACACACAAGTTATAATAATAATTGATATTAGAAATTTTTAATTTCTTCTAAAATGTATTTGTAAATGCAATTAAACTTCGCAAAAAAAAAGAAGGTAGAAACGAAGGAATAAATAAAATATATACATGCAAAAAAAAAAAAATTAACAAAAATAGAAGAATAAACAAAAAGTATTTAACACTTTGTTGCAAGCATAAAAATAAGGCTAAAATAATTGGTTAAAATGAAAGTAAACTTTATGTTAAAAGCTAACACAAGTAGCACTGGACATTAACAAAGCTTGAGACCAATGGAAAATGTTGATGAAGTAGACGAAAAGGTGAATGATGTTGGTGATGATGATGATGATAATTGTGGACGATGAAGAAAAGGAGTAGAAGGGAGAAAAGAAAAGTAAATGAGAGTTTGTGCTTAGATCGAATTCGCTTAATCATCTGCCACGGCTGCTACTTTCTACTTTATCATTATATTAGGATTGCTTCATCTTCATTTTCTTATTCCACTTTTGAAGAAATTTTCAACGAGATCAAGATGTGCAATATTAAAGAAGACAACACAAAAAAATAAAATAAAATTTTAAAAAAATGAAAAAAAAAAAAAAAAAACGTCAAAAAAAAATACTCAAAAAAAAAAAAAAATCATGATATTTGACAAATAATTTTAAGAAAACTGAATGAAAAAAAAAAGAGATGACGATTAGATATCTCAAGATTTATATATAAATATAAATATAGAGGCACATCTGGTGAACACACTCTTTCACATTTCACGGAATCCGACGTAATATCAACAGATCCATGCAATTCAAATCCATGTATTGTATTCCCCTTTTCAATCTCTTTTTCTTTCTTTTTTTTTTTTTTCATCTTTATTTTTCTCTGCTCTTCCCGCTCTCACATCCTTATTTCTTGTCACCAATCCTCTTGATACTATTCTTTTCATCATTTTCCTTCCTCAATAATCCTATTACCAATATAACTACAAATCCAAGACAGCAACAACAGCTGACATTACAATTATTCATTTGCGTGTGTGTGTGTGTGTGTGTCTGTGTATGTGTCTGTATGTGTGTATGTATATATGTATATACATACATATATGTCTGTAATATGCGTGAAAAATTAATTTTTGTTGTAAATATTTCGAAAAATGTCGCAACTGTAATCATCATCTGCAATAATTTAAAATTAAAATTTCAAGTTTTTCATGCAAACTTACAATAAATTGAAATAAATGATATAATGTTAATAAGGCTTAATCTTATTAAATTATAAAATAAATTTGAAATTATAGCATAATGAAGAGCAACATGCATAGCATATATGATTGTATTACGGTAACTGCAATGAATTAAAATTTATGCATTTTGAATGAGAAATGAACAAAAATTTTGCATGAGAAAATGTTAATAAAGACAAACTGTAACTGAAAAATGCATTAACTTCAATGCAATTAATTAATTTAAAAGTGAATCTTCCCGCGTTATATCTAATAAATCACTGTGTCGGCATGTCTCTTATATCAATACCGTTTGAAATATATGTCAATGTGTACACCTTTAATATCATATGGGTGTATGGTACATTTGTAACAGTTATATTCCTTCACACATACATACATATTCACATGTGCATACATGCTCACACATATACATACACGCACATACACGTATAGATACGTGTTATACATATGCAACAAATGGATGATAGGTGATAAAAATATGTGCCATTGTTAATAATGATAATCACTGTATTGGTTAACAGTAAGATAGTAGACATAACCAATGACTACAATCATTGCAAAGTTTCATGATAATGATAATAATTATATCAGTATTAGTTAGCAATTATCAATAGTAATAATCACTGTAATAATAGCGATTACGCAAGTGATGATGGTAATAGTAATGATTAATAATTAATAATAACGATAACAATAATAATAATAGTGGCAATAATAATGACAATAATAAGAATAATAACAATGACAGTAATATGACAATGACATTAATAATATTGTTTTTTGAACTTAAAATAAATGAATTTGTCTAATTATTGCTTACTTACATTTGAAAATGACAGCATGGTTAGTAGTATTGAAAATAAATGTATTTGATTTTCTCGTATATTTTTATTCTCTCACCTCACCCTCTTATTCCTTCTCTCCCTCTCATTTTCTCCTTTTTTTTTCGAATTCATGAAAGTATCTGATTTCACTTTTTTCTTCCTCTTTTTTGGAGAAAAAAATAATAGCAAAGATTTTCTTGAAAAAAAAAAAAAGCAGTGAAATGTGAAGTATTTGACATGTGAACCATTTAGTTCCCTAAGTAATAGCACAAAAACGATACCGTAATCGTCTGCTTTTTTTTTTTTTGCAAAACGGCCTAAATTCATTGCTTTTTTTTTCTTACATATTATAGAACATTTTATTCTTTATAAAATTGCCATTTCGATTACAAATTAAAAAGCCGGAGAGAGAGACAGGGAAATGGAAATGAAGATATCATTATTTTCAACTATTCTACGATTTTTGAGTATTATAATTTAAAAAAACAGTAACAAATAGTTTGCTTTTTCTTTTAAGAAGACGAAAATTTTATTTGACATTATTGGTCGGATTATTTCAGATTTTCGACATTTTTTTACCATTCTAATCGATCTTATCATCTTTTCCATTCATCATATCTACTTATTTTGATTATTGTAAAAGGAAAAGAAAACTTTTTTTTCTTTCCATTTTCTCTCTTTCATCCTTCTTCTCATATTCTTTCCAAAATTTTGAGCTATTTTATTTGCTGAAAAAAAAAAAAAAGAAAGAAAAAGGAAAGTTTTTTAAAGTAAAAAATTTCTTTAAAATTATAATTAATTTAATTATACAATATTAATTTTAATAACTAACTAACTTTTAAAGAAAATATTCTGAGAATAAATTAATTTATCCATAAAAAAATGTGAGCATGCGACTGTGAAACAACAATTAAAATAATCCATAATTTAATTGCAGATAATTATGGATCAATGAACTTGGAAGGTATGACAATGAGGTGACAAGAAAAAGTAAGCGATATGAGAAAAAAATTGAAAGAAGACAATCAAGAATTGGGAATAAAAATTAGTCTGAGATAATTTAATTTTAGCGTTGACAATAGTTTGTGACAGTTTTAACATTAGCTTGAAATTATTATTTATATATAAAAATAAATATTATACATGTGTGTATGTGCGTGTATGTGCTCTTCGTTTGGTTTGCTAACCAATAGATGGAGGCTAAGGTTGCATTTGTCATCAGATTTTTTTTTTATTAAGGTGTTCATTTAAGCAAGCTGTCAGACACCGTAAACTCGATGAAATATCTCAGTAAGCAAACGATGACAATAAATGACAGACATATCCTTCCTACAAACAGCTTTTATTTTATTTATTTTCTTTTTTTTTTTTTTATTTCATTCCCATTTATTTATTTTTGCTCAAATTTACAATGATTTAATTAATAAAACAAAAACACATAAAGAAATGAATAGGAATTTATCCATGAAAGACTGTATAATTGCGAGATAAATTTTATAAAATTAATCAATTTTAATGTTACTTTTTTTTTTTCTTCTAACTAATTCGGTATGAGAGAATTTCATGAGGAAAAATTAGCACTACTGAATGGTTAATGGAAATGAAACATATGTTACGACTGGTCAACAACCGTATCATTTGTGGTATGCATCATTATTCCAGATGTTTAAACTATCATTTGGTAAATGGGTAAATCCCTTTCTTACCCATAAACCACAAAAGTTTGGCTGATCGGTAGCATCTTCAGTTTACAATGCTTGTACTTATGGTATGTGCAGAGTATGTATGTGTGACTGACTGTTTGGGGTATATCCAACCCAATGTTTGTATGCTTATATGATGTGCATCTGTCTGCGTGCGTGTGTATGTGTGTGTGTGTGTGTGTGTATGTATGTGTGTATGTGTGTGCACTGTACAAGAATGCTAAATTTAAATGAAAGCTAAAGGATAGTTAGTAGCTGGTAAATAAAGAAATGAAGAGCTAACTTGTTATGTGTGCGTGTGTTACGGGTTTGTTAGGGATGGGCAAAAAGAATTAGATGAAGGAGAAGAGGAAAATGAAAAAGAAAGAAAAAATATATTGAAAGAAGTATTTGCAGGAAGAGTTAGAATAGTTAAGATCAGTAGCTAAAATTGTCATCAGTTCGGTTGAGGTCACTTCTTGCAAAAT